TATTAAAATATGTATATTTAATATGAGTAAAATTAAAAATTTATTGAATTTTTGGACAAAGTTAATGAGCTATATTTCCTTCAATCATATTCACAAGTTATCTTCTATAAAGAATTCATATTCACTTTTACTAGTCAATTTGCATAAAAAGTTGATTGATAATTATTTTCTTTCAATTTTGTCCTTCCATAATTTTTGATAATTATTTCTTTTTCTAAACAATATCAATCATTTAACTATTTTTTATTAGTTTCAGTGAAATAATTAAAATTTAAAAATAACTTATAAATAGAATTAGATGGGATATTTTTTTATTTCACTAAAACATGTTAAAAATATTTATAAATAAAATAAAAAGACTATATTTTAGGAATTAAAATAAGAATTTTTAATTTTATTCAAGCCAAAAAAACAGTGTGTTTTTTTTTTTCAGTCTAAATTTATTTTCAGGCTTAAGTAAACCACGATGCCTTTCTCAGTTTCTCTTTTAACGTGCGACAGAAACACAGCGGCGAAAGGAATCTTCCACTCTCTCGTGGCTGATGATTTTGTGAAGAGCCACAAAGGAAGCACTTAATTGATGCCATCAGAAAAGGGAAAAATGAAGTCCAACAACTTTCCACTGCTTCTACAATCACAAATTTATTCCTCCATATTGTTTAATTTATATATTTTTAATTGACTTGATTTTATTTCAATCATATCAAAAATATATCTCATCTTAATTTAAAAATAATCGAAACAAAATACAAGATTGCTTTTGGCATGTTATATCTCAAAAATTATATATATATATATATATATTTTTTATTTTAAAAAATATACATTAAATATATTAAATATATTAATATAATTTATGCTTATATTAATTATAATTTCAATAATTTTTTTTTTATTTAAAACTAAAAATTTTATACTACTAATTTTAATGATATAAAATAAGTAGTATATGTTAATATCCTTCTATACAATATATGAATTATATTAATATAATTTATTTTTATATCTATTTATTTAATAATTTTTATTTATATCCTATTTCTTACCTTATTTTAAAAGAGTCACTAGATTAATAAATTTTAATTAAAAAAATGCCTTGATGCTGTGCCGAGTTTATCTATTGTTATTGCTCTTTTAGTCTATAGACCACTTATAATTATTATCATAATGTGTTATATCTCATGCATACTTGACTTTAAGTTGTACATTTATAGTTGTGATTTATATAATTTAATAATTATTGTGATTTATATAGTCATGTTATTTTAATTTTAAACTTAATAAGTTATGTGATTTAAAATTTTAATTAATGAATATTATTATCTAGACTTTTTTTTCACATTATCCGCTTTGCCGAGACGACAGGAAGTTTAAATCTTGTCTTAATTCTTAATGAGATGAAACGACTTTTAGAACAAGACAGAACATGAGATAAAAATTTAATTTTAACAATTTTTTTAAATGAAACATGAGACGGGAGTGTCCTAATCCCATTCTATAAAAACTATACCATATGCACTATTTGTAACACACCAAAATTTTTTTTTTAAATAATTTAACTCAACCATAGTTTGGTTACAGCCACCCAACACATTTTTATATCAATAATTTCGATATAAAATATTTTATAATTGGCTTCAACTCACACACTATAACATTTCAGATAAATTTTTACCTCCCACATGCCATTAGGCTAAATCACATTTGTCCATCCTTATACTCCCAACAAGTAAACTAAATCACATTTGTCCATCCTTATACTCCCAACAAGTAAAATAAGCAATTTAATCAATTTTCAACACAAGCCAGTTATTTGACCTTATAATCATGCCATTTTAACCAATCCAAAGTAAACCAAATATTAAAATTACAGTCATCCAAATTGTACCAAAAATAGAAATAGTTTGAAAGGCATGATTACATTTATATATTCATATAATTGACAATAAACATAAAAAAGTCCTAATATTGGCAATATAACACATTATAAATCATAAATTAAATACCCAAAAGAGACAGTGAATCTATACCACTAAGCCTCTGGGACTCCTCTACGTGTCACTCGTGGCTCTTCTCCTGAAAATTGTTAACCACATAATGAGACTCAAAAGTCCCAGTAACCAAAGCCAATTTATGATAGTGTATACAAACAGTTAAGTGTGTGCTTACTAAGTGAGAATTAAAAATAATATAATTCCAACAAATATAAGAAATATTATAATAAACACAAACAACCATCCTTATATCCCTCCATTAACCTCGAGCCGTAGCCCTCACTCGGTGCTAAATTACCCGGCCAAAGGTAGATTAGCCCGAGCCCTTACAAGCCACCTATTGAGCTACAATAGGGGCGTACCACGTGGCACATAAATACAACAATAATAGCAAGTCTCCCAACACCTCCCACAATAATTAAACAAATTCATAATAATATTGCACAATTATACAATATTACAAAATTCATAATTTTCTCAATAATCACCCAATTAACAAGAAGTAACACTAATCATAAATTAAAAGCATGGTTACCTTGTGGCTTTTTCAATAAATTATTCCTTAAAATTTCTCTCTCTCCACAATCTTCACCAGTAATACAATCTACAAATAACATATTATTTATAAATATTAGTTTCAATTTTTGAAACTAATAAAATAATTCTAATAATAGAATTAAAAATATAACATAATTCCTAATCTCAATCTTAATACAAATCTATAGTTAATACTATTAAGTAAAATTTTTAACTCCTCTTTTAATTATCAATAAACATTAATAATCTAAAAATCAAATTTTAAAAATTTCTATTATCAAATTTTTTTTTATTTTATAAATTCGTACCTAAAATACCCAAAAATTAAAAATTGAGTCTCTAGCTTAGAATCATAATCCTATAACCATAATAATTCATTTCTCATCCCAAATAATCATCTAAACCTCAATAAATCAACATATATTTTCAGATCTAGTTTAGAATTTGATCCATAAGCCACAGATTCAAAGATCATCAATAAATTTATACTCTAGAACATTTATTATACTACTGACAACCTCAAAAATCATATTTATTCAACATAAATTCATCCCTCTTCCAGATCTTAAATTTTCTACCACTACAAACTCAGAAACTAAATAAGAAGGATGACTAAGAAAAATTTTTAGAACACTTACTTAGTCTTGAAAAGCTTAAAATCACACCCTAAATATCCTATTAAAAACTCTTACCTTAAAAATTTAGATATTTCGCACCGGCACTCGCTTCTCTCCGCCTCAGCTCGCGCAGAGAATGAATGAGGAAATGAAGGAAGGTGAGTTTTATAAAAATTCAGTGGGTCCCACATATTTTTTTTTATTATTATTTCTTCTTCTCTCTCTTCCCCCCCTTTTTTTTTATTATTATTTTATACTTACTATTCATGCGGCGCCGAAAGCAAATTCGTTTTCTCTTCTTCTTCCTTTTTTTTTTTGGCATACCCTTTTCCCTTTTTTTTATTATAATAATAATTTAATAATTAATTTTTTTAATTAATTTTTTTAATAAATTTATTTATTTATTTTTTTAATTTTTTTTAAATTTAGAATTATATCCTAAATTAGATTTAATAATCATTTTCTACTAATTTTCTTACCTCTAATATTATTTTTTTTTTTAAAAAAAAATTTCTATTAACCTAAATTAACTATTAAAATTTAAATTGGGATGTTATACTATTGCTTCTTTTTTTTGAATAAAAGGCCACGGGTAAACCGTGCTATGTGATATGATGTGTCATATTAGCGTACATGAAATTTATACAACCAAGAGGCGGAGTATCGAAAATATGAACTCTAGGGCTTTCGACAGGAGCTTGGTGAGCCAACCAATCCGCACATTTATTTACTTCTCTAAAAACGTGATCAAAAGTGACCATCCAGTTTTTCATAACAAGATCTCTGATTTTGTTGATAGTAGCACAAGGGGGTGATTCATAGAGAATTCATTGCGCATAAGTGCGAGCGCTTTCTGTAAAGTCAGAGTAGACATTAACTTTATCAAATTTTTTCACCCAGCGAATGTTAAGTCCTTCCAAGATGTCCATAAGCTTTGCCACCGTACTTGTGTGGTAATCAAGGTATTTGGAGAAGCCTTTAATCCAATTTTTTTTCCATTTCGGATTAAGCTGCCATAAGAAGTTGCACTTAATTATTGGTGGAGCCATCTATGTCAAGTCCGATTCATCCGTCTTCAGGAGATAACCACTTAACTTTGAATCTATCACTCTATTGAATTAAGAAGTTAATTTTTAATTGGAGGAGTTGATCACTAAGAATGTCCTGAATGCTAATGATATGCATTATTGCTTTTGTGCCTCCTTTAATTCTGTTTGGTGTCCACTTGTTAGTGTTGATTTTTCAACGGTGGCAAAGGCAAATGTCAAAAAAATAATAAATAATAAATAAATTATTTATTGTTATTATTTAAATATTTTTAAAAATAAGATCCCAAATTTTTATTAATAATTAGATGTAAAAATATGTATAGGAAGGGAACAGGGAGAGGATTCAAATCTCACCGTGTCCTTCACCATCCATTACCAAGTGTTTTGTTGTATTGGAACTTTCTGTCTTCTCCTGTCTCCGTTCTCTTTCTCTAAACCTGGTCGGAATCCTAACGAGTTCATCTACTCTGAGTAGTCAAGACTGTGGGGTTCTGTTTACCTTTTCAACTATTGGAAGATTACGGGTAAGGGAAAAGGCTCCAAGTTCGCTTCCTTCTGGGCCAAAAAAAAAAAAAAAGTGCGCTTCTTTCTTAAATTCTCAGAAAACATGTTTGATTCAACTTATTCCTCACGGAAATAAAAATCTCTGGGTCTTTGTCATCCTCGATTTTGATCGCTCAGGCGTGTCTGATCATTGCTTTATTCGAATGGCGTCTTGGCAACGTGTTTTAGTTTAAAGAGGTTTCGGTGGGAATTCAGTAGTCAACGGTGTTATCTGGCTCTAGACATGTGCGTCCACGCTTTATGAGTCAGATCCTTGCTGATTTATGCTATAATCATCGAAATCGAACTCAGCTTTTAGGATTTGCGACCCATTTTTTTCTCGGCATGCTGACACGTTAGGAATAGGATAGCAGGGGTTGCAAAAATGTTTTATTTGGATTCTTAGTTCTTACGAGGAAAGACAAAGCGTTGCCGTGTTTCCTTTTTCAGCCTACTCTAAACCGGTTGGTTCCCGGAAAATCTCCAATGGAAGAGGCACTCTAGCGGTCTTGCTTCCGGCCGGTTCTTCCCTCTCTTCTCCGACTGATATTAGGTTGATTTCTTGATTTGTCTGATCTGATGATCTACCTCACTTTGCTGATCCGGTTGATCCTTTTTGTTTGGCCAACATCTGGTTTACTGATCTGATGTTTATGGGCTTCTGCTTGCCGATGATTATGATTCTTGCCATTCATTTTCTGATCGATTAAGGGTGTTTGAGGGATTTCACCTTATCATTTATTTTTAGTTTTTTTTTTAAATTGATTCGTCTATCTCATATTCTATAGCATATCAAACGTCCTTGTTAGCTTTTTAACTTTCCGTTTCTTTCATATTTCCCCCATAAAAATACATCCTCTCTACCGGCTATAATTCGATTTCCTGTGGAAGCCTTCTAGTTTTCAGTGGATTCTCGTTATGGCCAAAAAAAAAATGAGGGGGAGGGGGACTAGTTATTGGATTATTACGTGATGAACAAGTAAAAAGTACGAACCCGCATGCCGTCTTCTAGTATTTATTTATTACAGTATTTCGTGACGGTGGATCGAGGAATATATATATATATATATACATGGATGTGGTTCCCAATTTAGATAACCAGTTCAGTTTATGCCTCCTTAACTCAGAATGACACATCATTTTATGCAGGTATCTGGAAACCTGACGCTTGAAATTTTAAGCTTAATTATCAGAGATAGATGGGGTCTGAGTGTCCTCCAGCAACTGTAACTGTTCATGTTACAGGCTTCAAGAAATTCCATGGGGTTTCAGAGAATCCGACTGAGTCAATTGTCAATAACTTGACGGAGTATATGAAGAAGAAGGGCTTACCTAAAGGTTTAGTCATTGGGAGCTGTAGCATTCTGGAGACTGCTGGTCAAGGAGCCCTTGTTACCCTATACCAGACTTTGCAATCTTCCATTAGCCCCAAGGACTCTGAATCTTCCAATTCCCGTAAAATTATATGGGTGAGTTGCCCTTATGATTGCAAAAGCATGATGATTTCTTCGTTATTGTGGTTCTCAATCAAAGATTCTTATTGGACTTTTAAGCTCTGGTTTCTTCCCCGTAAAAATGCTTAGCATATAACTGAACTAAAACCAAAACTATAGAGGACATTTTGATTTAGAGCCTGCTTGTTCTAAGTCTGGACTAGAGATTGTAGTTGTGAAAGATTGAGGATCTCAAGGTTACGGCCTAAAAAAGGGTCCGGCAAGGGAATTGTGGAAACTTAATCTTTCAAATTCTGTTCCTTCAAGCTATTCTGTCAGCACTAGATTATGATGCCCTATGGAGTGATTTCTTCATTGTCTAGTTTCTTAATATTTAAAGCTTGCAGACTTGGGCCTCAATTAAAAGACTCTATAGCTGTATGAGTTAAAAGTTTTAGCTTACAACAAACGGAAAACTGAAAATGGACTTTACAATTTAGTGCTCATGTTATATGCTGCATAGTATAAGTTTGAGCTAAAAAGGGAATCGTGTACTTAGTTCACTGAGATGTTTCCTTTTGTTGAATTCATCGATATTGAATCAGTAGTAATTTCAACAATTTTCTTTTAATTCCCTCAACTTACTTTTGGATTGTTAATTACATTTATAGCTGCATTTTGGGGTTAACAGTGGAGCAACAAGGTTTGCTATAGAGCACCAAGCTGTCAATGAGGCTACTTTCCGTTGCCCGGATGAAATGGGATGGAAGCCCCAGGTTAGATAGTAATTGCACAATCATGTTTAATTTATCCTATCAAGCCGTTAGAGCTAATAATTTCTATCTTAATATGCACACATTCACTAAATTTTCATGTGTTGCAGAAAGTCCCAATTGTTCCTTCGGATGGCGGAATCATGCGAACGCGGGAGGTACATTATGTACTTATTTTAAGCTTGAAGCCTAATGTGTAAACCTATTGTAGCATAACGTTCATTAGTTCAGCTCATATTGGTTGATAGCAAATAGTCTGAGTTGTTCATTTGGTTTTTGATGGCCGGCGGACCGGCAACTTTAATCCATGGTCACATAAAGGACGTTGTTTCAGCTGTTCTGCCGCATAGTACATTCATTAAGTGGTCTATGATTTACTATGTTCACATTATTGTGCAGACATCTCTTCCTGTAGAGGAAATCACGAAGGAATTGACAAAGAAGGGTTATGATGTGATGACATCTGATGATGCTGGCAGGTTCGTATGCAATTACGTGTACTATCACTCTCTTCGTTTTGCAGAGCAAAGCGGGATAAAATCCCTGTTTGTGCATGTGCCTCTGTTCTTGACAATAGATGAGGACACCCAAATGCAGTTCGTTGCTTCCTTGTTAGAGGCACTTGCTTCTGTAAGTTAGTCTCGTCGCTGGAAGGCTTATGAATGTTCAGGAATGTAACTTGACTGAAATGCCACAATAATGTAAAAAAGGAATTGTTGTATTTGAATGGAAATGTTAATGAAATGTGCATATGTGGCACTCAGGCATTTGCCTTGGCGTCAGCAAACTGTCCAAGACAAAGTTGACATCTTCCTTGTGTGACAATGTGTTGATGCTCATTTTCTATAAACCTGCTCCGATTCAGATTTCTGAATGTGACATGCTTGATACTTCTGAATGAATTGATTCCGCGTGAAGTGAAGAGTGAAACAGAAAATTAAGAGAATTGATTAGATGCTGAAGCTATTTTAAAGGCCTCATCGATGCATTCATAGCTCAGTTTTATCCGTCATTTTACTATCTGCTGCTTACTCTCCTGTTTCGAAATGATTCCTTGAAAACTTTTTTCTAAAATAGGTCGAGAACATGAACTTGATGACTGGTAACACTTTTGCAGATGTGCAAAATGGAGAATATAAACATTACCGTAAGGAGCTTGTTTTCATCAAGTAACACATGACTTCAGATTAACAACTTCAATCTTGAAATTAACAATTCTGGGTCATACGATGAGGCTTCAATACATTATTATATGGAGTTATTTTTTTAATTGATGTTTTTTTTTAATCTAATTTCTTCACTTACGGATGTATGATTTTCATCTAATCAAGGTCCATGTCCATTCTTGATGTGGGCAGTTCTTGTAGGCTCATCAATGTCGATCCGTGAGTCCATTACGGGCCTAATTAAACTAATCAAATAATATATCAGTGAGCAGCTTTTCATGGGGATGTTACTGTGCATTTTTGGCATAAATGCAGATATTGACATTGATCCCTGCGAAAAAGACGCGATGCATTTTTGGCATAAATGCAGATATTGACATTGATCCCTCGAAAAAGACGCGATTTGCCCCTGGGGCTGGTCAGGCTAAAATTCTAGAAGTTCCTCGCACTCGCCGCCTTTCCAGCATCGCCTAAGACTCTTACAAAGTGATTAGATTTTCAACTTGGATATCAAGCGTGCTTTTGATTCATTTTCTCAGCCGCCCCCCCTATTTTGCCCCAGTTCATCCCCACTATCTCAGTATCTATCGTCTTTATACAAATTACATTATGGGAGGCCAGGTGTGACACCAAGCCATTCAAGTTAATTCATGCCCATCGCCATCAAGTTCAATCTCGGGAAGCCCATTCAGTATCTTTTTTTTAGGAAAAATTATGTATAGATCCGGTGAAATAAATTTATTTATAAATAAATATCATGAAATTAAAAAATCATAATGACTTGAGTATAATTTACAATTAGGATGTAAAAAAAAAAAATTATTTCTCAGCTGTTCTTACTCCTAAGTTGTAATACATTATCAATATAACTATTAAATATGTAAAGTTATAAGTGTAAACATTTAAAGTGATAGTTATAAATTATTAATGAAATAATTATAAATTACTTAATTGATGTGATGTACTTTTAACAAGAATATTATTTTTTTTTGTATCCCAATTTTAAATTACATTCATATCCTAATAGATCTAGCTGTGATTTTTGAATTTCACACAGATTCTTCATAAAATTATAAATTTATTTAATCGAACTAAAGTCATGAAAGACTTATTTGATAAAAAATGGTCTATCATGATGATAAAGTGTGAGACTTTCTTTTCAACATATTACCATAATAATAAAACTTTATCATAGTAGAAAAGATTTTAGATAATATTTTAAATTCTATCATAATAGAAAAGAGACTACTATGGTAATAAAAAAATAAAATCATTTTTATAAATTTATCGTGATAAAAAAAATTTTCCTTTACATTAACCTTTCTCAATTAGACCACTATAGTAGGACAAGATCCACCATACTAGAAAAGGATTAAACATAATATAATAGCTTTATCATAGTAATATAAAAAAAATGCCTAAAATAAAATGTACTTAATGAAATCTCATTGAATGTCACAAGTTTATAAACAATATTATGATAATAAGAGTATTTAAAAGTTAAGCATGGCTCCCTAGATGGCATAATCTCAAATAATATATCCATGTGGAGATATAATGAACCCTTAGTGGATCATAACTCTTTTCAAACACCAATTTCTTTGTTATTTCCCAAGACAGGTCCAAACAGTACTTTCAACAATTTAACACTTGATCCAACCAGGGACAACTCTAAGATATTCACTTGTTTACAACATAACCACATGACAATTTTCATTAATATATCAAAATTTAGATAGTAAAGGATTCCAAAAGACATCAATACCTCAAGTAAGTAGCGAGATTGATGACTCTAAATATTTTCACGTGTTATTGGGGAATTTTGAATTTAATTTAGAGTTATCTAAGTATTTTTGACAGAAAATGAAACTATTATTTAAGAAAAAGCAAAGAAAGGTGTTTTTGAATATGAGAAGAGATAGTTGTTAGTATTTTGTTAAAATAAATGTATTTCTTGAGCTAGAATTGCATTAACAATGTTATGTTTTGTGTAGGGTAATCTAACTTAAGAGTCAAAATGCTATATATAAGTAAAAATTTAAGATGAAGAAAAAGCAGGATTTAAGCTATGGCACTTTTGAATTAGGCTGCAGCGTGATGCCTAGTAACAGTGTGATTTATGCTGCAATGTAATCCGATTATGTTGGAGCATAAGCATCAGTTAATAAAACGCACAGCTCCGTGAAAAATTGATGTTTTTAAGATTATGAATGTTTTGGCTCATCGTTCTTTGATTTTGCTCAAACTAGCAAATAGAAATCGACCAAGGAAGAGAGAAAAACACCATGGCTAAGGTGGAGAAGCTTGAGTTTTATGAAAGATTAATGATTTTCATCCAAAATTACTTTGATTAAGCTTTTTTTCTTCATTTTGATGCATTATTTGTTGCCTTTTGTTGTTTCTAGAAGTATGTGTGGCTGATTCTCTTTAGACTTAGAGGAACTCTAAACTTATTGATGGATTAGAGTCATGTTTACCTATTAGTTAAGCTTAATGTTAATTTTGGTCACTCAATCTTGTATTTTAATATTTATTTGATGCTTAACCAACATTCTCTTGGCCCAATTTAAATCATAATTAATTGTCTAAACATGTAGCTAACACTAATCAATCTCAAATGCACATTTATTCCTTAATTTCACCCAAAATGAAATTCAAATCTTAAATTTTAAATCCTCATTTTTCCTAATTTATCTCCTAAATAAAAATTAGGATTTTACAGGAATCAATGTCGAGAGAACAAGAAGATTGAAAACATGAAGTAACTATGTTGGAATATTAGTTGTTAAGATGTTAGTTAACCATGGTTAGTCATTAGCCTGAGCTTGTATGAAGGGATAAATAAGGATTAAGCATTTAGGCAAGGGAGTTGTATCCCACTCCTAGAGGAAGGCTGACAAAGGTCTTCACCTTAAAGTTGGAGTTTGTAGATCACCTTAGTCGGGTAAATTAATGTAAGATTTTCATCATCTTTGTTGTTAATATTCTCTTCAATATTCTCAACAAGCTAAAATTTCAAATGACTATAATAACAAATTGGTTTTGCTTTGAATCAAATCTAAATACATAAATTTTTATATGTTCAAATAGAATATTTCGTCCAAATATGGATTCAAATTTAAATCTCTATCGATTTAAATATAATGTTAATAAAATAATAAATTCACACAAAACTAGTACCCAAATCATATTATATATTTAAAGTATTCATTTTGTCTATTGTGATTTCCCCAAACGAACACGCTTATTCCCCCACCCCAAGAAAAGAAAACAATAACATCTCAAGGTAAGTAATTCAAATTATATAACTAATTACTCAATTAATTTCCCCATGATGTTTTGCTGTTCATGGCTGTCAGCTCATGTGTCATGGCCGACCAAATATGCAAGTATAGCCCACAGTAAGTTTTAAGCAAAGATGTTTCACTTTTTTCTTTCTTTTTTTCTTGGGGGAGGGGGGGGGGGCCCTTCACTATCATACCTCTCCTCTCCCACCACCTTCTACGCCTCTTGCTTACTTTTCATCCTCTCTTCTATTCCGCAATCTGAACATGCTTCAACAACACATTAGAACCACGCAAATGGGTAGATTTTGTTGGGGTTGACTGTTTGGATCATTACCTATCAAATTATGCATAAATTTAGGATTTGAACTTCATTAAGTGATGCCCTTCTCTGATTATCAAGTCAGTGCCTTTTTGCCTTTGACATGTTATCCATATAGGTCATGCACAGCGCTCAAGAATCTAGAATCAGTGCCGCACTGAAACCAAGATGAATTGGTGACTTGGACAAGAAGGTATTTGTCTCTTTGCTACTTAATTTTCTTCCTTTCTTTCTTTTTTGTTTTTTTTTTTGGTAGATTTCATTTCACATGCACATCTGGTAATGGTATTGCTACAGATACACTTCCCCCTTCATATGGTTCATTTTTTTTCCCTCAGTACAGCGTCATGACATCAACTTTTTCTTTTTGCCTTTGACATGTTATCGATATAGGTCACGCATAGCACTTTAGTAACAGTGCAGCACTGAAATTAAGATGAATTGGTAAGCTGGACAAGAAGGCCTTTTTCTTTTTACTACTTAATTCTGTTTCGTAGATTTCATTTGATATACTCATCTTGTTCTGCTATTGCTACATACAGATGTATTTTTCCCCTCCTAGGGCTCATTTTTTCCTTAATACAGCGTTATAACAACATTTAATTAACCATTCCTGTCTAACACCCTACAGCATCAACTTGAGGTAAAGTGAGTGGATTTCCCTCTAAAAGACATAGAACTGGTGGGACAGTAAGTGTCTGCATAGTTCCATAGGCATTCCAGCAAAATGGGTTGGCCAGAAAATGGCCTTGTGCAGGAAGAAGCTCTACTTCTGATAGGGTGAGGTTTGTGCATGGAACAGAATCGCTGCAGGCGAAACGCATCGGAGGGCTCCTCACATCATAAGTACCTTTGATGTTCAAGTAGGAAACATTGGAAACCAAAACAGCAGATGTCTGGTTGATACAGTCCTTGGAGAGACAGTAGTATTGGTCTATGATGATTGGATTTCGAACAGTGTCCATGTAAATGTTACTGAACGTTACTTTGGACACTGTTCCTGCTCCACCCTGCCATGTCTTTATCCGAACCCCATTATCTGAGTGCTTTATCACTGATTCTGTCACCTTTACGTTGGACACACAAGCTCTGGAATTGTGATTTCCAAGGCTACCAATGCTGCACATTAGATAATCCCATTTACACAATAGTCTCAGAAAATCATGCAGAAAGTCACAACCTTTCTTTTGGTATTATTATTTATACTGTTTTGTCTCACAAGGTATACATACCTTATCCCATGACTTGGACCGCACGTTATATTCTTTATGTCCACATTGTAACAACCAGCTCCAATTGACACACAGTCATCACCTGCGCACAGGGGAGGATCATAAACGGGGAGTAAAGAGAGCTTCCTGGCCAAGTTATGATGTCTGAATGAGATAATCAGAATCTATGGAATTACCATTGGAGATAAGTGAATTACAAATTTGGACATTATTTGTCTTCTCAATGTGAATTCCATCTGTGTTCGGACTTGAAGCAGGGGATTTTATGACAAGCTTTTCCACATGGACGTCTTGGCAGCCATCAAACCTAAAATGGAATTGAGGGCTGTTCATGACTTTAACTCCCTGCACTGTTAAATTGGTGCTCATGAAGAATCTGATGGCCTGCAAAAGAAACATTCAGTAACGACTTTGTAAGATAATTTCGCTTTGAAACTTCCATGCAGAACACTTTCAACAGCAATTTCAACTATTGCTACAACGCACAACTGGGCTATCACATGGACCGTGATCTTTTGTTCCACTTTTTCCCTGAAACGGCAAACTGCAAACTTAGTAGTTGTAATAGACCAGAAGGGGTGGTGTTAATAAGGTCAGAGAAAATAATAAAATATACTTTGTGATGGTGAGGCTTACAAGGAGATC